CCCCCCCATCTTACGTACGCTCCCGCCGGCGCCCCAGGACCTTCGAGGTAATGCCTTGGACGCAGGAAACCCTTCTGTAGGCACGACGCTGCTGCAGCCTTTTGGCGAGGGTATCTGTCCCAAGGGCACGCACCACCCGCCGGGGCTCGGGCAGGGTCCCGGGCAGGGGGAGCGGTTCGCGAGCGACGGCAGTTACATCACCAGCGGCGCGAACACCGCTGCTGGCACGAGCCGAGGCAGGAGCCGGAGCGGAAGCAACAGCTGCGCGGCGAATGGTACAGCCGATGCTGCTGATGTTGTCGATGCTCGGAATTCGTCTGAGGGCTCTGTGCACCAGCCACAGCAGCTTGGTCGCGGTGACAGCCCTAACCGTGGTCAGGACGGTTCTTCGGACCGTTCTTCGGATCGCCGCTTGACCATCATCGTCCCGGGGGACAAGGTGGGGCTACGACCACTGCCGCAGCCGCCGCTGCAGACAACACCGGGCAGCGGTCATCACCTGTTTCCGGAAAAGAAGAGCCCGAAAAGCGTCTCCGCTGTTTTTAGCGCGGCATCGATCGCCACTAGCGCCCCGATACGATCACCAACACCGCCTCTCCTGCTGCTGTCGCCGGGGAGCGTCGAGGAAAAGCCCGGGGTGGGGTCCGGTTTGGGTTATTCCGCCGCCGACGGGGATGCTGGGGAACTATCATCGGTTCGGGTTGCGCCGCGTCCTCCACCAGGGTCCGTGACGCTCGTTAAGCCTCGCGTGAAGCGCGTCAGGCTCAAGGTAAGCTTATGTTTCGTGTGTGACTGCTGTTGTTGTTGTTGTTGTTGTTGTTGTTGTTGTTGTGTAGACGTGAAAAAACTTCCGGCCTTCGCTCACGTGGCACCTTCTATCCGTGCGGGTCGGGTCTAACGGAGGCGGGCGCCTTCCGTGGTGATAGGCCAACTACCCAAAAGGGACCCCTCTCCGGAAGTTACAAAGAACGTAAAACGAGGCTGTTAAACGCTGTGTGTTTGTGTACGGTGCGTGCTTTCGTGTGTTTCCCGTTAGGCGAGAATCGACCGCGATGCGTAGGCGGCTTGCCAAGCCAATAAAGACGGTAGACGGTAGTGTTCTGGACGCAGAACTACAAAAGCTCACGCATAAACGCTTATGTGGAAGGCTTAGCGCTGCTCCTGCCACCCTTCCTGTGCCTCATTTCCCAACTCCGGAAAAACATGAGCATTCCGCGCTGCTCAGAGGCATGTACATCACTCGCGCTGTTCTTTTTTTAGCGTTCCATCCTGGCTGCTGGTGCTAGAATCGTACGGTAGGTGCTTACGACGTGCTCCTTTCACATCGACACGAGACACCTTTGTGTCCTTGTGGCGAGAGGAGAAGTGTGGGCGGTCGATGCCTACTGCTGTTAACGCCGCTCCCGTGGTACCTACGGCGTTCGTGCAAAACTGCTTGGTCTTATTTCTGATTGTGGCATCTCGTCTCCCCGCCCCAAGCACGCCAAACAGCCTGCCGCGCGAAGGAGAGCAGCAAGATTCATTTTACCATATCAAGACTTCTCTTCTAGAACGGTCTTGGCACGCCCCATCTAAAACGTGTTTAACCTTGCGCGACGTGCCTTCATGATGACCCTATTACCTTGTCAGGTAAGCCGAGGCGTGTGGATGGCATCGGTATGGGAATCCGTGGTGGAAGCAGCTAGGCGGGCGGAGTCTGCTAAGGGTGCTGCTGCCGCTGCTGCACGTGGCGATGATGGCACGGTGAGTTGGGTAGATGGGAGGGGTGCTTTGTTTGCCCTGGGCGTTGTGTGTACAACCTGTCGATTCGGGTGCGTGGTAGTTTTTTTTCTTGGATGCAAAGACCTCTTCCAACACTACTGTGCATTTTTTTCAGTGATTTGCGTCTTGTGCCGGTTGATTGTCTGTAGTTCGTTCGGGTTAGATTATAACTTGACGACGGGTGGTGTGTCGGCAGGTTGTTTGTCTTCTTTTGGTCGAGCTTGGACAAGCAAGGCGTTCCATGTGCGTTGTAGTTTTATGTTGCGGGTGTCCACTTGTCTGTCACTTGTGAGGTCGTGTCCATTCAAGAAGATGGGTCAGATCAGACAGGGGCCGTCATCAGGGTACAGCCCATGTGAAGCACGCCATCTTAAATTGTGATACGGAACACGTGTTCTTGCCTATCATTTGGAGCGTCTGTACAAGCCAAGGTAAAACCCAGATGGGTATCCTTTTAACCTTTTCCTCTGCTTGCTGAGGCCACACAAAAAATGCCGGCATTTTGTGATCCGTGTCCGCAAGAGCAGCGTTTCATCACTTTGCCTCTCCCCGCTGTGTCTGTCGTGCCTTGCACAGCACGGGAAAGGTGAAGGGGCAGGGCCGGGGGACGGCGGCAGCAGCGGAGCGGACGCAAGCAATGGCAAGGGGAAACGGCCAAAGGCGGTGGTAGGAGGCAAGACCATCGGGGTCAAGCACCTGGCAGCAGGGGGCGGAAAGCAGCCCACGGGCAAGACTGTTGCTGCAGCTGCCGCCGCTGCCGCGTCACCCCTGGCTGACAAGCTTTCGGGGCAAGGCAACAACGGCAACAACCCGTGGGCAACGTGCACGGCAATAGAGGATGGCAAGGTTGCCGGAGGGGTCGTGGAGAGCACCCCCGCGGCGGCAGCGCAAGCGATATTCGGGAGGGGGCCCGCGACGGACGTAGCTCTGGGCGCGGAAGCTCTTATCCTGCAGGCTTTGGTGCCTTCTACGTGAGTGGCATGGTTGTTATCTGTTTCCGTTGGATATGTTCTGATTTGGGGTCGTCATTTTGTGTGTTGGAGTCTTATTTGTTCGGTCGCTTCTGTTGTGTAGTCGATTCTTTTCTTGGAGTTATGAACACGTCTGTCCCGCTCCCCGAAAGTGTTTAGACTTGGCACGTGATTTGCGCTTGGGGTTGAGAGTATGTTGCCGCGTTGGAGTGATCTCTGGCAAGTTGGGTACATGAAGGTGGTTCGTTGGTCCTATTTTCTAGTACGAGTGTTGGACAGGCGATCGTTTTTTGTCAACAACGATGGTGATGGTGTATGCGTGTACTACGTCGTACCGGAAGATGGTCCTTGAATCAAGCTTTTGTTGCCTCGACTTATTCCGGGCATTTCGGCCACCGCCTTTCTAGTCTTTCGCTCCCCTTCAGCCGCTTTGGCGTCGACGGGCTAGGTCCCCCAGGAAGGCTTTCTCTCCTGCGGGGCCCCCCAGCCTTCGCTGGGAAGGCAGGGACTCGCCATGCACCGTTCATCGAGCTTCCTCTCATCTCTCCCGCTACTCCTGCCCTGGTTCGATTCCTTTCCTTTGTGCTTGCAGAGACCTTTGTCTGGAACCCAGCGTGGACGTGTCTAGGCTGGCAGCCATGGTCCGGGGGGAGGGCGGCGGAGGAAACTTGACGTTCCGCTTCGAGAGACGCCACTACCGTCTGCTCGAAACCCTTGCCCTGCCGGGGGTTGAAGATGCGCCGGTGAGATTCGTGAGACGCGTCTTTTCTGCACTTGTGTGGGTCAAGTTTTCGTGGTCGTCTTGATGTGTGCATCGCTCGCTGTCTCTCTCTCTCCCTCTTTCTCTCGCTTCTTTGGCGTTGACAATGCAAGGGTCTTTCCCTCCCATGCGTTTCTTGGTTACCCTCGGTGAACACCGAGCTTTCGAGTCTTGTCCGCAGTACGCTTGTTGACGTTGTGTAAGGTAGTTTATTGTACCAGGTGTGCTTGGCGTAGAGGAGGCTCGCGTTCTATCCGCACCAATAGGGGTATTTTGTCCTCCTTGATGCGCGTTTCGTCCCTGGGCTGGCCGCGACACTCCTAGGTAACGGCACCATCTCGCATGCCACCCTCCCCGGTCTAAACCTCTTCCCCGCTCCTTGAGAATGTTCGCTGCTTTCCCTCCTCGAACGCGAACGCCCGCCATCCAACTGTGACGCTTTGACGTTGTCGTCTGTCTCCTTTAGTCTTCTTGTGCACCAATTACGGCGGTTGCGTGACTGACTCGTAACTCTTTTTTTTTTTTTCTTGATGGGATGTGTTTGTGTGCTCTCGCCTTCCTGAAGGACGAGGAACAGTTTTTCCTCGGGCTGGGCGCCAAACGCCTCGGCAAGAGCACGAAGCGGAGGCTGGTGGAGTGCCAGACGCAGATAACGACGGCCCTTCGTGGTGGCCGTCCCGTCGTCCCCGCTTCCTGCAACCCCGCCACTGCCCCTACCGCCGGCGCCGCCCCTGCTGTTGCTGCTGCTGCTGCTGCTGCTGCTGCTACTGCTGTACCGGTCTCTAGTACGCCCACGAAACGGCCCAACAAGAAGCAGTCCCAAGCCGCGTCTGCGTCTGGAGGAGCGTCCCCGTCTTCTCGCCCGACGGCCGCCCCCGCTTCCGCCGGTCGAAGCAGTGCTACCGGCGACCGTGCGGCGAAATCCCCGGGAGCAAGCGGCCGGAGCGGAGTGACGAACCACCCCGACGAAACACATGCCAACGGTCATACCAGCAACCCCAACGGCACGATGAGGATGAACACCCCGGAGGCGTCGGCTAGGAGCGGGGACGGAGGCTGGGGTGGTGGGCTGGGCCTACCTGACAGATCGCAATCGTCGATCGCGGCAACGGGTGGGGTAGGCGCCGCGTCTACGGCGGGTGTTGGGCGCGGCGGCGGCAGCGGGGCGAGGAGGATGAAAGGCGGCGGCAGCGTCTTGCTCTGCGCCCCGCGGCAGCAGGTCTCGCAGGGTGGCCTGGAGTCGGCTGTTGCCGCCGCCGCCGGTGTTGGTGCAGCCCGCAGCGGTGTGCGTTCTGCTGCTGAGCTGGCGGTCTCCGCCGTCCGGGGGTGGGAGAAAGGGCTAAACGCTTCTACTGCGGCTGCGGCGGCTTCTGCGGCCTCGTCTGCGTCGAAGAAAGCAGTGTCCCCGCGAACCTCGCAAGCCTTGAACAACTTGGTGGCGACAGATAAGAATGGCAAGGAAAAGAGCGACGAGGCCAAGAGGAAGGCGAAGAAGCAGCAACCCAAAGGCAAGCTGGAAGGAACAGACGCCTCTTTTGGTTGATTCGCACCTACGGTGCACAAGCGATCGGTTTGACAGTCGGGCCAAAGGGTTGACACGTTGTTTTCCGGGGTATAATTTTCGGCGTCTTTGCTCTGTCCTTGTTTGCTTTTACCTCTTGAAACGGTGTCTGTGCGCGACTGCCAGAGAATCGTGCATATCCAAGCAGGAGGGGCGTGGAACATGGGCTACGATGAAAGTCGCATCGAGGCCTTTTTTCGAAGTGAACACGTCACCAACGTCGCTTGTTCCGTATTAAGAAAGCCTGCACGAACACCTCAGGCAGATGACAAACAGCGAGAAACAAATATTTTTCCCTCCAAACCTCCGTGTACAGCAGTGTACCAGCTTTCCGAGTATCTTGTCAGGTTATGGCGTCTGCCACCCAGCATGGGGCCGCATCAACCCCTCCACGTGCCGATGGCGTAGCCCCCCCGTTGAGTCCTCAACGTTGCACGTTTATCCTATCCCACTTGACGCGCTGAAACCATCCTTCACAGAAGGGCCCGGTCATGCCAAAAGAATGATCGCGGACGGATCGACAGCGGCCTTGAGCACCAAATCGGCGGAGGCGTTGATCAACGACGGTATGAAGGGGCTAGTCGTCCATCGGACGCCACAGGCACAGCGGGAGGACGACGACGGGAAGAAGCAAACCAAGAAGAAACTGGCGGCGGCGGCGGCAGCGGCGGCGTCGCCGACAATGACAACGGTGAAGCGAAAGACGAGCGTCAAGAGCAAGAAGAGGCTGGAGGAGGAGAGGGCCGTCGCGTTTCGAACGGTTCACCGGACGCTGCTGTCCCCGGTTACGCACTTGTCGCCGGCGAACGGAGGCCGGCCGCACGATCCCGCCGTCTTCACAAAGTTCGCCAAGCCCGCCGTGGAGAAGGTGCGTGCGTCATGCAGGGTATGACCGATAAACGAGCGCTTGTGGCTTGTGCAGACATGTAGGCCTGCAGGGTGAGCGGTTCATGGTTAGGGACGAAGTCGACGGATCGTTCAGAGTTGTGTTTGGTCCGGCTGGGTCTGGTTTTCCTGTTAGGAATGGTAGGGAGTGGACGAATTCCAACTCTCTGTCGCGAAAGGGCGATGTTCACGTGCCGTGTGCTCCAGCTCTCGAAGGACCAGGCAGTCTATCTGTACCGGACGGTGGTGCTGCGTGCTGTTCCCACAATCGACGAGTGCTTTGGTTGGCCCCCTTTTTTTCACGAGCTTCAACGGATGGTGCACTCGAACATGATGCCAACACAATTCAACAGTTTTTAGATACCAATGTGCAACTCGTTCAGTATCAAGTTTGTTCTTCCCGTGTAGCGCTTTGATGCATTGTCGCCCATAGGCGAGCACGTCTTCGTTCTGACGATTTGTTGACTCTCGCTTGCCCGACTTTGCACGTCAACCACTCCTTCAAGTCGATTGGACTGTGCACGAATCAGAGGATGAACATTCACGTGATGTGCTTATTCAGACATGATGCTAAGGAAATTTCCTCGTTCGTGAGGGTCCCTGTGCTGAACTATACAGTGTGCAGCGGGAGTCAATTCCAACCTCTCCGCTACTCGGCTGCGCGTGTTGGAATGTGCATACCCTTAATGGGACTAGGTTCAAATTATCACCCCGCGCCTTGGATTGTTGCCGGGATGTCCAGGTCATTCCGGCACCCGATGTGCCCAAGGCTAGACTGTCACTCTCGGGCTCCGCGTTTTTGTTGTGGCGGTAATGCAAGAACACGTACATTAGCGGAGCCCCCCGCCCGCTCGCCGTTCTTTAACTGACGACAAATATCTCCCCCGACCCCCCCCCCCCCCCCC